GGTGAGGCCCCTTCTGGAGCAACTGTGTCCCAGTTTTGTTGTAGGAAGGATATTATTAAACTGGAGAGGGGGGTTCGGGAGAGATTTACCAGGATGTTGCTGGGTACGGAGGGTGTGAGTTATAAGGAAGAGGCTGGGACTTTTTTCATTGGAGCGTCGGAGGGGGGACCTTACAGAGTTTTATAAAATCATGAGGGGTACAGATTATGTTAATAGCTTTCCCCAGAGTAGGGGAATTCAAAACTAGAGGTGCATAGGTTTAAGGTAAGAGGGGGAAAGATTTAAAAGGGACCCGAGGGGCAACTTTTGCATGCAGAGGGTGGTGCATGTATGGAATGAACTTCCTGAGGAAGCGGTGGATGTGGGTACAGTTACAGCGTATAAAATACATTTGGATCAACACGTGGATAGGTAAGGTTTGGAGGGATATAGGCCAGGAGCAGGCAGGCGTGGGACTGGTTTAGTGTGGGATTAGGGTCAGCACGGACTGGATGGGCTGAAGGGTCTGTTTCCGTGCCATACAACTCTCAGAAGGAAGACCCCGGAAAACTGGGGCAGGTCCCATCCCCTCACGGGGCACTGATGGACCTGCCCCCTTGGCTTGCAGTTCCAATCCTCTCTCTCCCTCCCTCCCTCGGGTCTGAGCAGAAACTCACCACATAGGTAGCCTCCAGCTCCCTGGTCAGCTTGTCCTTGACCGAGGCTGCGGTGGGCGTGCTGGACATCTGCGTGATGAAGAGAGAAGTTGGGGTCCCGTGAGTTCCAGACCAACTGACCAGCCATAACGCCAACACAGACACAATAGGCACGCGCCCTGCTATCCCCTCTGCCGCCCCTCCACCCAAGGCGGGGGGGTGGGGGTTGGTGGTGGTGTCAATGACTAACTAATGGGGATGTCCATCTACCCCACCCCCACAGTCAACAACCAGCCAATGGCGATGGCTGTATAACCCCGGGGGTCAATCACCAGCCAATGGCGATGGCTGTATAACCCCGGGGGTCAATCACCAGCCAATGGCGATGGCTGTATAACCCCGGGGGTCAATCACCAGCCAATGGCGATGGCTGTATAACCCCGGGGGTCAATCACCAGCCAATGGCGATGGCTGTATAACCCCGGGGGTCAATCACCAGCCAATGGCGATGG